TGGTGCCATCCCTGCTGTATACTTTGATTTTTTACCTGTTTGGCATTTGGTTTGTTTGTAGTAAGTCAAAAAAAAGCAACTCAGCTGTTTGGCTATGGTGAGTTCTTTCTTTCTTTCTTTCTTTCTTTCTTTCTTTCTTTCTTTCTTTCTTTCTTTCTTTCTTTCTTTCTTTCTTTCTTTCTTTCTTTCTTTCTTTCTTTCTTTCTTTCTTTCTTTCGTCCTTTTTTCTTTCTCTCTTTCGTCCTTTTTTCTTTCTTTCTTTCTTTCTTTCTTTCTTTCTTTCTTTCTTTCTTTCTTTCTTTCTTTCTTTCTTTCTTTCTTTCTTTCTTTCTTTCTTTCTTTCTTTCTTTCTTTCTTTCTTTCTTTCTTTCTTTCTTTCTCTCTTTCGTCCTTTTTTCTTTCTTTCTTTCTTTCTTTCTTTCTTTCTTTCTTTCTTTCTTTCTTTCTTTCTTTCTTTCTTTCTTTCTTTCTTTCTTTCTTTCTTTCTTTCTTTCTTTCTTTCTTTCTATCTATAAGTCTTTCTTTCTTTCTTTCTTTCTTACTTACTTACTTACTTACTTACTTATTTACTTTCTTTCTTTCTTACTTTCTTTAGGTCATTCTTTCTTTGTATGTGTGTAAAGATGTAGGTGTATGTATGTATGTGTGTGTATGTATGCATGCATGTGTGTGTGTATCTAGGTGAATCTAGTAAGTATGAAAGTATGTATGTGTGAAGGTATGTGAGTGTATGTATGGATGTGTGTATGTATGAAAGTATGTATGTTTAAGTATCTGAGTGTATGTTTGGATGTGTGTATGCATGTACATGTAGTCCATGTATGTATGTATATATGTGGATGTATGTATGTGTGCATATATGTTTGTAGGTGCATGTATTATGTATGTCTGTATATGTATGAGAATGTTTCTATGTAAATGTATCTGTGTAAGTCTATGGGTGTATGTGTATTCATTCATGTATATGGATGTTTGTCGGTATATGTAGCTGTGGATGTGTGTGTATTTATGAATGTATGCAAGTATGCGTGTATGTGGGTATGTATTTTGTGTGTGTATGTATGTATAAAAGTATCTATATGTGTGATTTTGGGTGTGTGTGTGTGTGTTTATGCATGCGTGTGGATGTACGAGTGTATATTTAAGTTTGTTTGTGTGTGTATTTATGTATATGTTTTGTAAGTATGTTTGACTGTATATGAGTGTATGTGTGATTGTGGGTATGTGTGTACATAATGTAGGCAAGTATGTATGTATGTATGTATGTATGTATGTATGTATGTATGTATGTATGTATGTATGTATGTATGTATGTATGTATGTATGTATGTATGTATGTATGCATGAGTGTATGTATGTATGTATGTATGTATGTGAGTATCTGTATGGGTGATTGTATATGTGTGTATGCATGCATGTGTGGATATGTATGTAATGTGTGTCGGCATGTTTGTGCATGTGTGTATGCATTTGTAGATGTATAAGTATGTGGGTGTATGTGTGTGTATTTAGGTATGTATGCATGTATGTGTGTAAAGATGTAGGTGTATGTATTAATGTGTGTATGTATATGTGTGTATGTATATGTGTATGTATGTTTACATGTGAGTGTAAATGTGTGGTTGTGGGTGTCTGTACATGTGATTGTATGTGTGTGTATGCATGCATGCATGTGTAGGTGTGTATGTATGGAATGTGTGTGTCTTTTCTGTGTGTGTATATATGTAGATGTATATATGTACGTATGTATGTGTTAGGTATGTCTGTAGATGAGTGTGCATGTATGAGAATGTGAGAGCATATATATACATGTGTGTAAGTGTGTAAGATTGTGTACACATGATGTATGTATTATTTTCTAGAATGTATATTTTTATTCTATATCTATAACATGCATTTTAAATAACAGGCATTGGTACTCTGAAAAACGAGTGCTTAGAAGGGCCGAATGTCAGACGGGCCTGCGTGCCCAGTTTGTAACCCTTTGAAAATAAAGTTTGTTCGTTCGTTCGTTCTTTCTCTCTTTCTTTCTTTCTTTTTTTCTTTATTTCTGTAGGTCTTTCCTTTTTTACCCTAGTCTTGTTGTCTTTCATCGCCAGGTTATGATGAGGCTTTTGGGGACATCCTTGGTGTGTTCTGTGTTTGTTTTAGATGTTTTCCAATTAGTTCATTTGTAGTAAGACAATGGTGAATCTCCAGTTTTAAGCTCTTTTAATTTCTTTCTTTCTCTCTTTCTTTCTTTCTTTCTTTCTTTCTTTCTTTCTTTCTTTCTTTCTTTCTTTCTTTCTTTCTTTCTTTCTTTCTTTCTTTCTTTCTTTCTTTCTTTCTTTCTTTCTTTCTTTCTTTCTTTCTTTCTTTCTTTCTTTCTTTCTTTTCCTCCTCCTTCATATTCTTCTTCTTCTTCTTCTTCTTCTTCTTCTTCTTCTTCTTCTTCTTCTTCTTCTTCTTCTTCTTCTTCTTCTTCTTCTTCTTCTTCTTCTTCTTTTCTTCTTCTTTTTCTTCTTCTTTTTCTTCTTCTTCTTCTTCTTCTTCTTCTTCTTCTTCTTCTTCTTCTTCTTCTTCTTCTTCTTCTTCTTCTTCTTCTTCTTCTTCTTCTTCTTCTTCTTCTTCTTCTTCTTCTTCTTCTTCTTCTTCTTCTTCTTCTTCTTCTTCTTATTCTTCTTCTTATTCTTCTTCTTCTTCTTATACTTCTTCTTCTTTTTCCCTCTCACATTGTATCTCAGCAAAGTGTTGAGGTCAGATGTAACATTCGTTGATAAACTCTGTTAAGAGCATAATTAAGACTGATGTTCATTTCTGTAAGGCTGTTCTTAATGCCATCACTCCATATTTTCCGAGGTCTTCCACTCGCTCTATACCCGTTGTAACGTGGCTCGCTGTGGCAGATAGTACCATGGCATTCTTGTTAGGTGTTCAAACCACTTCATTTGTTGTTCTTTGATGACTTGTAAGACTGACCTTATTCCTAGCATTCGTCTGATTTCGTATTCTGTCTTTTCTTAAAACTCCTGTAGCTCTTCTAAGGCATTTCATCTCGGTTTGTCACGATTTTACGTTCATTGGAGGGTGTAAGTGTCCACTTTTGGCACTGATAGCATAGTGTTGGCCTAAAAAAACTTCTGCTTGTGTGTCAACAGGGGAGTTAGTTGCCCAATTACTTGATTAGCTTTGGCACATCTCGAGCTAATTTCTCTATCCAGGTTCCGTCGTATGTGAAAATAGCTCCCAAATACTTAAATTCCTCTGTTTGTCTTAAGATTGTTTTTTTTTTTTTTTTCTAAATTGTCTTTCTGTCTTCCTATCACCACTGTCACTGTCTTCGTAGTGTTTATTTATTTTAATGATAATAATTATATTAATTATATTATATTATATTATATTATATTATATTATATTATATTATATTATATTATATTATATTATATTATATTATATTATATTATATTAAATTACATTACATTACATTACATTACATTACATTACATTACATTACATTACATTACATTACATTACATTACATTACATTACATTACGTTATGTTACGTTATATTATATTTTATTATATTATATTATATTATATTATATTATATTATATTATATTATATTATATTATATTATATTATATTATATTATATTATATTATATTATATTATATTATATTATATTATATTATATTATATTATATTATATTATGTTATGTTATGTTACGTTACGTTACGTTACGTTACGTTACGTTACGTTACGTTACGTTACGTTACGTTACGTTACGTTACGTTACGTTACGTTACGTTACGTTACGTTACGTTACGGTACGGTACGTTACGGTACGGTACGTTACGTTACATTACATTACATTACATTACATTACATTACATTACATTACATTACATTACATTATATTATATTATATTATATTATATTATATTATATTATATTATATTATATTATATTATATTATATTATATTATATTATATTATATTATATTATATTATATTAAGCGACGACCGTGGCTTAGGCGTTGCGAGTCCTGATGGTAATTCCAATAATATACTAATATAATATAATATAATATAATATAATATAATATAATATAATATAATATAATATAATATAATATAATATAATATAATATAATATAATATAATATAATATAATATAATATAATATAATATAATATAATATAATATAATATAATATAATATAATATAATATAATATAATATAATATAATATAATATAATATAATATAATATAATATAATATAATATAATATAATATAACGTAATATATTAAAATATAAATAATATAATTATTATTAGAAAATAAATAAAGACCGCGATCGAAGCCTTCTGCTAGCTGTATGGATTTTTATCAAGGTATGGGGCGTCGCAGGTCGACCCAGCCTAAAATGGGTACTAGGATGGCTGTCCTGCGAAAGTACCATATTACCCCCCAGTGCCGATGGTCTGTAAAAATATGGGTGCTCTTCACATATTCCAGATGCGCCTAAAGCGTGAAAAGGTATCTACTTTTTTTTTATATTATATTATATTATATTATATTATATTATATTATATTATATTATATTATATTATATTATATTATATTATATTATATTATATTATATTATATTATATTATATTATATTATATTATATTATATTATATTATATTATATTATATTATATTATATTATATTATATTATTTTATTTTATATTATATTATATTATATTATATTATATTATATTATATTATATTATATTATATTATATTATATTATATTATATTATATTATATTATATTATATTATATTATATTATATTATATTATATTGAATAATCTGTCTGTGGTAAAGCTAGAACCTGGGCTTACAACTCACTCACTCACGATTATAATACCGATGATTGTGATGAAGCTGAATAAGTAAAAATCCGGTGTAATTCATTTGATTAAATCGGACAGGCTGGTGTCTCCTTTGTTTCCAATCCATGTTTACACACAAACTTAATCCCTTTACCCTCCTTAAACGCCAATCATAACCTAAAATTTCATTTTCTATGTCTCAATGATTGCCTCAGGGGTTACCCAGTTTCTCCGTTGCTTTCTTGTATATGTCGAAAAGATGCCACATTGAAGAGATTAAAGCCCATATTTATTGCCCATGACAATACGACCCGGACCTCATCTATCTGGACGCCAAGGCAGCTGTGAAAATTCTGGCTTCTAGCTGTTTTCCCAGATTTCGCAGGCGTCCAAAAATGTTTCATGTGTTATTTCTGCTTGAGCATGAGATGGAAACTGACACATTTCTTGTAATTTAGGAGGGCTTTGTGCAAATTGCTGACCAGTTCTTTGGCGGGAGTTTATGGGCGGGAGTGACATTCTTAACTTTCAGAGCGGAAGATCTTTCGAAAAACCATCGGTTTATTATTTGCAAAGATAAACAGTAACAGACAGTGTTTTCATCCGTGGCGTATGGGGCAATTGATACTAGACTTACTGTTTTATAGACCAACCGGCAATCGGTGGTTGTTGTGGTCAACATCACGCCGGCCGGCTTTACTTCCCAGAAATGTATCTGATACTCATGTTTGACTGGGTTGACCGGGAAAGGCAAAACTACTTTTCATTACAATTTGATTCGATGCAGTTGGAATCCCAGACCTTCCGGCCGTCAGACTTGTGACCAACCGCCACACACCTAAACATCCCACAAGACCCATCTGTATTTTGTCATTTCGCGGGTTATGTGGTCAAGAGCACACCAGCCACTTTTACTTTCTATGAAAAAATATCGCACCAAACAAAAGTTAGAACTAGTCAGTTTCACATGATCCCAGTCATAAAAAGCAAGCGGACGTTGCAGCTAAAGAGCTTTTATAGGTGTAAGTCAGATCCCTTTGCACGCCTGTAGGCACATCGGGCACATGGAAAGAGCATCCCTGTTTTTACAGATAACTAGGTGGGTAATGTGGTCAGCATTACGCCGGCTGTATTTACTTCCCCAGGACATATATCCTGGTACCCATTTTAGGCTAGGTCGACCTGGGACACCCCATACCACGATACAAATCAACGCAGCCGGCAGTGGGTTTCGATCGCGGTACGTTAGAATGGCGAGTTGGACGCAACGCCTAAGCCACGGAAACCGCTTTCATAGGAATGAATGAATATTGTCTCACTACATACCTTTTGCTCCCTTAAAAAAACTATAGTGTGTTAAGCATATGATATATTTCTATTGGATGTTTGAGGTTTTTTTTTTTTTTTTACTGAAAGTTTTTATTCTTATAAAATGTAGGTGTCAATTGAACACATTCCAGCGTTTTTAACTAATATTTAAGTTTTGATGTTGTTTTTATTATGCAACCTGTTACAGTTACATCAGGTTTATTGCTATACTTTCTGAAAGTTCAGTAATATAAGTATAATTAGAGCACATTCCAGTTATTCAGAAGCTCGCTTTCAAATCCAGCTGCGACTTGCTGCAGCCACGGTCGGTGTTCGAAACCGGGCTTTACCAGGGGTTCACCCAGCCTCTATGAAATAGGTACCAGAGTTGACACTCTTTGGCAAATGGAGGAACGTCGCTGTAGCTACAGAGTTACGTGCGGATAGCGATACAGGCGGACAGTTTCTTATCAGCTTTCCGTACTGGTGGCAGAGCACTTAGGTTTATAACCGTGCGCAATGACGCTGGTTCACATCTCCCGACTTTACCGTTACCTTTTAACAGTTTATATATTTATATATATTCTGGGGTTTATTTTCATTATTATTACCTATAAAATGAGGCACCAATAAATAACTGTAAGCAAGAAGTGGACTGTAAATACAGAATCTCAGACAGGCCTGCGTGACCAGTTCTCAACCCTTCGAAAATAAAGTGGGTTCGTTCTTTCGTTCGTTCGTTCATCTGCACGACATGAAAATTCACTCTACAAATACGAACACGAATACACAAAATCACTGCAACGAAGTATCTCTGAAAGAAAAATCACATAAATGTGCGGGTGGTTGAATCTCTGACACGTGTGTGCCCCCTGGAAATAAACACTTGCTAGAAAAAGCTAAATATAGCAAGGGCCGTGATTCATAATTTTTTATAAAACTGTGTAGGATGTTAAGTATCCTAGGGGAATTAGAGCTAATTTGACAGATAACGTATTTTCTTAAAAAAAAAAAAAAAGTCTCTTAAATTAGTTTGCATCTTATACAACGGCACTAGATTTTATGTTATCATATAAATTTTTTTCTCACAATTTTTGGTCCAAACAGCAAGTTGCGTCGTTTACATTGGATCGTTGCTTTTTGGGGGAATACGGAATTTTTATTTCCAGTGGCATTCTCTGATGCCTGTATAGGCACGGTCTTTCCTTGGCCGCTAGGGTGTATTATAGAAAATCCATATCCATACAGACTCGAACCCTAGACCTATAGAGTGTATGCAGGGTTCTAGTCATAAGGCTAACCCCAGCTCCCCGTTTTAATTGTTTTGAGGGTAAAATTAATTTTCCAAGCCTATGTTGTCATGTTATCCAGTCGGGTTATCTAGCCGTGTTATCTAGTCATGTTATCTAGTCATGTTATCTAGTCATGTTATCTTGTCATGTTACCTAGTCATGTTATCTAGTCATGTTATCTAGTCATGTTATCTAGTCATGTTATCTAGTCATGTTATCTAGTCATGTTATCTAGTCATGTTATCTAGTCATGTTATCTTGTCATGTTATCTAGTCATGTTATCTAGTCATGTTATCTTGTCATGTTATCTAGTCATGTTATCTTGTCATGTTATCTTGTCATGTTACCTAGTCATGTTATCTAGTCATGTTATCTAGTCATGTTATCTAGTCATGTTATCTAGTCATGTTATCTAGTCATGTTATCTTGTCATGTTATCTAGTCATGTTATCTAGTCATGTTATCTAGTCATGTTATCTTGTCATGTTATCTAGTCATGTTATCTAGCCGTGTTATCTAGCCGTGTTATCTAGTCATGTTATCTAGTCATGTTATCTTGTCATGTTATCTAGTCATGTTATCCAGTCGGGTTATCTAGCCGTGTTATCTAGTCATGTTATCTAGTCGGGTTATCTAGCCGTGTTATCTAGTCATGTTATCCAGTCTGGTTATCTAGCCGTGTTATCTAATCATGTTATTCAGTCGGGTTGTCTAGCCGTGTTATCTAGTTATGTTATCCAGTCGGGTTGTCTAGCGGTGTTATCTAGTCATGTTATCCAGTCGGGTTATCTAGCCGTGTTATCTAGTCATGTTATCCAGTAGGGTTATCTAGCCGTGTTATCTAGTCATGTTATCCAGTCGGGTTATCTAGCGGTGTTATCTAATCATGTTATCCAGTCGGGTTATCTAGCCGTGTTATCTAATCATGTTATCCAGTCGGGTTGTCTAGCCGTGTTATCTAGCCATTTTATCCAGTCGGGTTATATAGCCGTGTTATCTAGTCATGTTATCCAGTCGGGTTATCTAGCGGTGTTATCTAATCATGTTATCCAGTCGGGTTATCTAGCCGTGTTATCTAGTCATGTTATCTAGTCGGGTTATCTAGCGGTGTTATCTAGTCATGTTATCCAGTCGGGTTATCTAGCGGTGTTATCTAGTCATGTTATCCAGTCGGGTTATCTAGCGGTGTTATCTAATCATGTTATCCAGTCGGGTTATCTAGCGGTGCTATCTAGTCATGTTATCCAGTCGGGTTGTCTAGCGGTGTTATCTAGTCATGTTATCCAGTCGGGTTGTCTAGCGATGTTATCTTGTCATGTTATCTAGTCGGGTTATCTAGCCGTGTTATCTAGTCATGTTATCTAGTCGGGTTATCTAGCGGTGTTATCTAGTCATGTTATCCAGTCGGGTTATCTAGCGGTGTTATCTAATCATGTTATCCAGTCGGGTTATCTAGGGGTGTTATCTAGTCATGTTATCCAGTCGGGTTGTCTAGGGGTGTTATCTAATCATGTTATCCAGTCGGGTTGTCTAGGGGTGTTATCTAGTCATGTTATCCAGTCGGGTTGTCTAGCCGTGTTATCTAGTCATGTTATCTAGTCGGGTTATCTAGCCGTGTTATCTAGTCATGTTATCCAGTCGGGTTATCTAGCCTTGTTATCTAGTCATGTTATCCAGTCGGGTTGTCTAGCCGTGTTATCTAGTCATGTTATCCAGTGGGGTTATCTAGCGGTGTTATCTAGTCATGTTATCCAGTCGGGTTTTCCAGCGGTGTTATCTAGCCATGTTATCCAGTCGGTTTGTCTAGCCGTGTTATCTAGCCATGTTATCCAGTCGGGTTATCTAGCGGTGTTATCTAATCATGTTATCCAGTCTGGTTATCTAGCCGTGTTATCTAGTCATGTTATCCAGTCTGGTTATCTAGCCGTGTTATCTAATCATGTTATCCAGTCGGGTTATCTAGCCGTGTTATCTAGTCATGTTATCCAGTCTGGTTATCTAGCGGTGTTATCTAGTCATGTTATCCAGTCTGAAGATGTTACGCGCATTCTGAAGGTCTCACACCCAATGACCACAGCCACAAAGAAATCATTAGAGGCAAAAAATGGGTTGGTGGGAGGTGTGTGTGTGTATGTGTGTGTGTGTGTGTGTGTGTGTGTGGGGTCCCGTTAGGTTAGAATGTTCCTCTGTCCTTAAGGGATTGAGCGATATTTCAGCGCGCAATATTATTATTATTAGGCCAACAGTATAATTAAATATTTGAAATAAAATGGAATGAATAAATAAATTACCTTAAAAATTCAAAAAAATATATTTTTTTAAAATCCGCCTACGCAAATATTCTATGGGGAAGGACGAGCAGACGGCACAACTTTTAGTTTTTCAATAATACAGACTGCATGTCTTATCTTAAGGTGCAATTCTTGTTCATGCAATATTTCTTATAATAAACAGTCTGTGGCCAAAGGCGAAATCTTGATTCAGTGTTGAGACAATGATGTATATGTTAGGGGTATAACAAAATTGTAACGGGAAATTTGTGAATTGGTTTATGATACATTGTTGAAAAAACAAATATGTGTTCGACGATTGTTTCA